CTAAATCACAATCAATTAATGAGGATGACAATTATCAAGTCCGATTAACAAATTGCATATTGAATTAAACATGTAAATTATTGCACACTGTGTGATGGTACTTATCAATCTGTTTTGTGTTGGGTTGAAAAGTTAATTACGACTTCCTAGGGAACAAAATAGAAAGACGAGTAGAACCAATCAATAAATGTTCAAATATCGGGGGAACAGGCTAGGACCACATTACCTTAACTTGTATGAGCAGTCACCTTTCATGCCCAAGTTGTCCAGCTATTAGGTTTTGGCACCAAATGTGGAATGTCATCTTACCTCTACATTTAACCAAAGTTTGGACTTTTCTTTTCTTCTCTTTCTATTTTGCATTTTTCTAAAAAATGGGGTTACTTAATAAAAGATGCCTAAAATGAAATATTGATACACCCCCGCAACATATATAGAAGCTAAATGTGACACACCATCAATTAGTTCAAGGATTGTTATTTTAAAGTTGGAAAATGGTTAAGGACTTTTAGATTATATTCTAGAAGAATAAAGAATGGTAAGTTCTCCTACACAATTCACAAAGTGAATTTGGGTTATATGCCTCTACACACTTAAAAACCAGGCACACATGCTAAAAATCATAGGATCAAAAATCAAAAAGGTTGCTTTACATGACCACATCCCTGCAGCTATCAAATACGAGGAACAACAAAAATAAAAAAAGTTAAGCTATCGTAACAGAAAAAAGATAACCCTGCATATCTCCTTTTTTCTCATCTGTATAACAATGAAAAGGCCATTCTACTGCATCACTCAAACAAGGGATTCTTTGACTCGGTATCATCTTGCTCAAAACAGTCATTGCCATCGCACAACAAATTCCATCAAGCCTCCATTGTCTCGCTTACTTGTCGTTCTGGTGAATCCCTATTCTGTTGTGGCTCTCCCAGCACATCCGATGTCTTGTCTTCACAGTAGTTTAGTACGTTTGTTACTCTATTTATGCCATCTTTTGCTTATCTATCAACAGCCTGGTTACCTTTTCTCAGAAAATAATTGATTTTCCAGCCTCTTACTCTTTTTTTTTTTTTTAAAAGGTGATTGTTATTTATTTGAACTAAAGCAAGTATGCCCAACCAAAGTCTTAGACTATGAGGGTCAAGCTTTGGTGGTGATGTTCTTGTACAATTACAAAAAGCCTAACCTGCTCGCAGGAAAGACAGGCGGCTGTAGAACAAAGAAAGCCCTAAGAGCGTAACTCAGGGTCACAAACCAACACAGCACAGAGTTAAAGACAAACAAAAAACTAGGTCCCTGAAAACTAAAGAACTCGCAGGACTAGACAATTAAACACAGTACGAAAAACTTCCAGCTCGAATCGTCAAAACTCCTATAGGGTCAAACACCATTTGGACTTCATACTTTAGGATCAACGATCAAAAGCTTAAACAAAAAGGATGACAAAGCGTGTTAATGGGAAACTAGCTTCAATCGGTACATCGTGTTAATGGGAGACCAGCTTCAATCGGTACTCCCCTTTACACCCACTTCATGACCATGAGAAAGCTGAACCACGGTAAGCACACAAAAATTGACTTGAGGAAACCTGAAGCAAAACATATCACGGCAGAATCCTGGGACATAGAAAGAAAGCACATGCGACCTAACACCAAAGGAGACACCCTCAAGATCTAGGGGAAGCCATCATTAGAGGGTCGACAGGGAAGTACATCAAACCAAGAAGGAGAATGTCACAAAAATCCTTCCATCACCCATCCACCACAAGGGCATCAAAGACCATTCATGAACCACCTAATGGAGTATCCATTTGTGTAATCTCCATGGAGCACAACTAGTGTCTTGCACCCATAGTACTGCATTCTTCAAATCACTTTCAATAATCAAAGAATGTAAAACCATTTATATTTGAGTATTTGACTCATTAGTTGGTGCATGATCCTCTTATCTAATAAGTACTTTAATCCCCTCCCCTCAATTATAAAAAAAAAAAAGAAAAAAACCCAAATAATGTAAAACCAACCATTTACAAGCTGAAAAAATTAGAAAAACTTCCTTTACAGCCATAATCTCGGCTATATTTGAATCACTCACCCTATAGATTTTGAAAACATTACCATAATCTCTCCCTTTGTTCCTCAACACTCCCCCTATTTCAGCTTCCCCGGACAATCATTCACAGCTCCATTTACATTAAACTTCAATTCTCCTTCAGCTGGACCATTCCGTGCCACCCCTGTCCACCCTTTTTTTTTTTTTACTTTTACTTACTGTCCCTGCACTGGGTGCCCCAGAGGTGTTCAAAATCATAATATGTTCCAAGGGCCATTTTGCATTAGTCCGAGTGACAACTCGCAGCTTGTTATAGTGTAAATTTGATCGGGGTTCCATACGTTATCTTGAAACAAGCTTATTCCTAGACATCCATGTATATGCACCATACCAAAGCATAATAAAATATTTTCCAGATTCTTACCTTCCTTAATGATGACATTATTCCATGAAAAAACAAAAGTAACCATATCATTTGGAAAGACCCAGACCACATTCCATTCTCTACGCCACCGAACTCATATTCCCCAAGACACAGCTATTAAGAAATCCATATGTGGCATTTGATTAACATCTAAAAATCAGAATATAAAGCTTAAAGACTATGAAAAGAAACAGAAATGTCTTTTAGTTTAAAATAATAGCATATTATTAAGAATTGACAGGCCGGTCCTCTTTTCTTTATATGTTTTTGGACCTAACGCAATCTGTGTTAAAATTTTTGGAGTAAAAAGCAAGAAGCATAGCCATTAACCAAATGTTCTTAACTTCTTTCACAAAACCCAGTAGCATTAACCCATGTTTCATCTAGAGCCCATATCCAATCTAATTTTGGGTTTATCATGAGTCCATGCAAATTTCAACGGTGAGTATATTGTTATATGAGGATAAAATGGACCTTTTGATCCATTGCCAAGGAGCCCAACTTACAAAATTCATCTTATCAAAGTGCTGGCAAGTGTTTTTCATAGGCGCGCAAACCGATTAACTGAAAACAATAGGGAACGGTTGATGACAAAATGCATTCATATTTGCATATTTTTAATTGTAACTTTGAAATCCTTATGTGAGTTTTTTAATTAAAATTTTTCTTTTTATATATTTTCAAATACATAGATATCTGGAGCCTTAACTAATTTTTTCAGAAACCAAATCCAAATCCACTCTTTCAAATTTATGATTCCAAACATATAGTAATTTTTACAAAATAAACAATTGAGTTAGTAACGAAATCTATTATCCACGCTACGCTCCTCTTGAACACGTATGACATAAGCTAAATAATAGCTAATTAAGAATTCCTTTTTCCTTTTAATTATCACAGACACATGAGTTGCTGCCGTTTCGTGATCAAAGCTGGGCCAGTTTAACCACATCCTCTTGGAAAAAGGGTCTTTCATACTTGTTTGAGCATAGTGAGAAAAAGGCTCTACTGCAGGGCTGAGGTTCAAGCGATGTTCCTGTTCTTTAATTTGATGAGCAATAAAAAAGAAAGTAGCAGAACATCACTGAAAGACACCAGGGGGGTTGGAAAACTTGTTGGAGGGCCACTGCCACCCAACCACTAAGAAAGGAAAGGCTCTTCTCTGTTTTGTCCGTTGTATCCATAGAAATCCCTCTCAAGCGTTTTTAAGGAGAAGACCATCTACTTCTAATATAATAAATCTGCCAATCTAATGATGATATAATTCAGAAAACTTACATAATCAAAAGAGAAATTGACCCATTTAGTATGGAGACAAATGGCAAATAAAACGACAGCGTTCCTAGTTTGATTTGGAAACCGAATAGATTATTGGTTAATGATTATCCGATATCCCCATCGCTCATCGGGGCTGTAAAGACCAAAGGCGAATCCAGATGCCCTTCCTTTTCCATTAAATGTCAGACAGAAATACCCCCTCTAAAGTGGATTGGTTATATTTTCCTTAAAGCTGCAAAAAGGACATTCGTTGACACAAGTTTGATAAGACTTATGAATGCGCTATATCTTGTCTAAGACTTACCCACGCATTCTCTCTAATCTCTTTTGGTGCCTAACTACGATGCTCAAACAGTAAATTGGAAATGCTTGTAAGGATAAAAGAGTCATTATGGTTTTATGACTCACGTGACACCCGTTTACTTGTATCCATCTTTCTGGCGCATGAACGCAGACAATATACAATTTAAGTGAAACTACTTCATAAAATCATCCCCAAAATATGTACACTAACCAACCTCAAATACTTGTTTTTCATTAGATAAATTGTGTAGTGGGTAAGATGTACCAAATTTCATAAGAAATTAAGAATAATATATTCGATATTAATTCATGTTCATGAGATAATTATCATTAGAGCTTGATTATGCACATATCTGCAAAAGATCGTACACTAATCTTCAAAGCAAATGAACTTGTCATAAGTCAATCCCTCAGACACTATCCAAATGCCCGTGACAACTATACCATTTGTCAAACTAAAGTAGGAGAACATTATTTAAATTATCTAATTAACATGCTGGATCTCAATTAGTCAACCACTCTAATCGTCTCATTGGATAAATTAAATAGGGCGAATGATGTATCACTCCAACTCAAAATAAAAAAAAAATTGCAATCAAGTAAGAAAATCTTTCTAAGGAGAATCCAAACAAGATTAACAATAGTGAATAGGGGAACAAACAAAGGGAAACACGTCAAAACAATGAACATGATCCATTATCCGAACTACAAAGATGAATCTTTCTAGTGGGGGCCCATCCCCTGTGGGACCCATTTAGAAGTTGGTCCACCACACCCCTGGTGGAAAAACTGAAAAGGGTCCAAATGGGCAATTCAGTCGTTGCAAATCACTACAAGATAAAGGAAGATGTTATTACAAGTATTATTATAAAATTTATATTATTATGTATATATAAAACTTTGCCTGGTGGGTGGACGGGTCTAGAGGCTGGCAGCGGGGAAAATGGAGCTAGAGAGAAGGAAAGCCAGCCAAAAAGCTTGAGTTCTAAGCTTTATGAGAGGGTCCTCCTCTCCCAAGAAAAATCATTATTCCAACTTTATAATATTTAAATGAGAGGAAATAATTACTATATTATTACATAGAAAGTACTTTTCTTGAGCGAGAATGTCAGGTTGAGGTCACACGACAACTGTTTTTAGAGTCCCTCCCTCTTTATTTTCTCTAGTTAAATCACTGGTCTTATTCTTGTTAAAAAAAAAAAAATCACCCGTCTTATTATTATACCTTTTCTTTGTCTTTACACACCCTTGAACTCTTTTTTAGTTTTTAGAGTCTTGTCTTTGTTATCCCAGCTGAGAAACCACCACGTTGGTGCTGCACTCATTTTGATTACCATTCCCTCATTTTGCAGAACCAAAAGTCAGTTCAGTGGCTATAGAATCATTTGTTTCTGTTTGTCTTCTTGCCCTTCTGAAGAATATGGTATATGACTGTGTGTGTTTCTCCTCACTTCCCTTTTGGCCTCCTCCTTGCATCTCTGTCTCTGTTGGGTAGTTAAAAAATCTTTTCTTCTTTTTAATTTCCTTGATCCAAGTTCCAAAAACGAAGAAAAGACTCTTGATTTGAGGTGGGTTTATTTTTTTTTTCTTTTTGGTTTTGTTTGTTTTTGGGTCATGGCAGTTTGCTGTGATCTTGAAGTGGATGTTAATGGAGAGGAGACTTTCCTGGTGCACAAGGTAAGTCTGTTCTCTACCTCTTTTTTTCTCATACTTTGCTTATAAAATTCTATTTTTTAAGGAAAAAAACGAGAACACTTCTGTTTTTTTGAGGGTTTCTTGCTTTCTCTCCAAAATGCAAGTTTATGATTCACTCTTGCTGTGTTCAATTTGATGTGATCCACATTGAACAAATAAAAAAAGTTGATGTGCTCCACTGAAATCTCCTTATTCTATGCAAGTGTTCTTCTGGTACTCTAAATAGCTGATCTGGTCTTTGCGGTTGTAAATGTATGCTGTGTTTCAGTGCATATTCATAGGCTATGGTATGCTTTTCTTTTGTGTGTGTCTGTTTTTGTAGTGTGAAAAAGGTGGAACTTATATGATTACAGTTTCATAATTGTCACATTCTCTTGTAAATTTTCTCTGTAGTCTGTAGAATTTACAGTTGTACCTCTAACATTTAATTTCCCACCTACACTGCAGCACTGTGGGGCAAAAGTTCATGGCTCTTGTTCTTCTTTTTCTGGAAATCACCATGTCCACGATTTTTGCGAAAGTGTGTAGGGCTTTCTGTTGTGTTTTCCTTCTTCCCTTCTCGTTTATTGCTGTTGTTAGGGTGCTTTAATGTTTCATGTCTACATTAGTTCTATTCGCCACTTTTGCTGAGAAGGACTGAGGGTTGCTTTCATGGCATTGATTACTGTTCATTTCCCTTCTTTGCTGGGGTGATTAGTTGACATCCTTGCAATTTATTACCCTCACTCAATTTATTACTCTAATAACGACCTCTCATCCTTCTTTTTGCTGATTTCGTGGTTTAGATACTCCCTTCTAATTTCACTTTCTCCCTTTTTTTTTTCCTGGTAACTGCAGTGAATTTATTCTCCCTTGCCCCGAAATTTAGTTCATTCCTTTTGTGGGCTTTTCTAAGCCCTGGAAGATTCTTATCAGAAAGTGATTGAAACTGTCTTTACAATAATTCCTCATCGTTTGTTTGTTTGTCACCTTTAACCTGTCTTGTTGTGTAATTCATTCTCTCATTCCAACCATCATTCCTGTTTTTGTATTTTTCTTTCCCTTTTTATTTCTGTTGTTGTATTGTTTCGTGGAGAAATAACTCTTGGGTAGTAGACATTCTTGATTTATCCCTGCTAGAGTTTTATATGTTCTTAATTTTGTTTTTTGCATTGTTGTTGTTACCACCACCACCACCACATCATCTAATTCTCTTCTTGTCTGGTCATTGCAGAAAATTGTTGGTTCATACTCGGGCAGGTTGAGCAAATTATTTGGTAAGTCCACAAACGCCAAGAGAAATAAAGTGGTATTCCACGACTTTCCAGGAGGGGCAGAGAATTTTGAGCTTGTGTCAAGGTTTTGTTACAACGAGGGAAAAATTGACGTAAATCCTTCAAACATTTTATTTTTATATTCTGCTGCCCAATTCATGGAGATGAACACTTCTGTATCCGGAACCTGTAATCTATTAGAAAAAACCAAGAAATCCATTGAAGAGATCAGCTATTGGACATGGTCTGATCTTTTGGTTGCTTTGAAACATTGCCAAGATTTACAGCCGATTGCAACTTTCTCAGGTGTACTTGAAAAATGCTTGGATTCACTTGTTGGGAGGTTGGCCATAACTAGTGAAGCAAGTCCTTGTGCATCTACTTCTTCTCCAGATAGCTCAGGGTTTCGGCTTTCCTGTGATAGTAGAAGCACTGAGAGTTTGAAAAACAGCTTCTCTCGAGCAACTTGGTGGTTTGAAGACCTTTCAGTTTTGAGTCCCGATTTGATTGGAATGCTGATAGAATTGATGGTCTCTCGAAAGTACAATCATGTAATGATCAGTCGATTCCTCTTCCATTACCAGAAGTCAAAGTTTTGTACTGCCTCATCTGATGAGAAATGTAAAGTTTTAGAAATTGTGATTGATATGCTTTACACACTTGATCCAATTTCTATTTCATGCAAGAATTTGTTCGGGATTCTTCGAGTGGTGCTGAGTTTGAAGATAGGAAAAAGTTGCAGGAACAAGTTGGAAAGTATGATAGGTTCTCAGATGGATCAAGCAACGTTAGATAATCTGCTAATTCCATCTCCCTATGGCTCAACTTATTTATATGATGTGAACCTTGTTCTTAGGTTCCTGAAAGCATTTCGGCATGGAGGAGGCTGGCAATTATCTCCAATGCGAATGAAGAAGGTTGCTAGCTTGATAGATCTGTATATAGCAGAAGTAGCTCCGGATCCTTGTCTAAAATCGTCAAAGTTTCTAGCCTTGCTGGTGGCCCTGCCGGATTCTGCCAGGGACTCCTGGGATGAATTATACCACGCCATGGACATTTATCTGGAGGTAATACTTTGATTTCCTTTATACAATTTCCCTAGAAACGCACAGCATATGCACTTGAACATTTTATTATTTCCGTTAAAAAAGTTAATCTGTTCTGACATTTTAAAATGCTACCAGAAACTGCAATTGAATTATTAGCAACCCAAAGATTTGCTCCATAATAGTATTCAGTGTATTTGGATTAAATATGGTTTTTGTAGGTGCATGCAGGGTTGTCTGAAGAAGAAAAAATGAAAATATGTTGTGCACTGAACTATGAGAAGCTCTCTACAGAGGCTTGCATGCACCTTTCTCAGAATGCAAGATTTCCATCAAAAAGTACAGTGCAAGCTCTCATCTCCCAGCAATTGAAGCTTAAGAACTTACTACAGGGCACTAATAATACTAAACTTTACACAGATTCCCCCTTAAATTTCAACGACATCCAAGGCAAGGCAAAGAAAGATGAAGCCACTAAACAAGTTGTTCTTTACTCTGGGAGACTAGACATATCAGCTGAGAACGAGAAGCTCAGAGCACATTTACAACGGATGCAATGGAGGGTGGTGGAATTGGAGAAAGTCTGCAAGAAAATGCAGACCCAGATGGCCAAAATCATGAAATCAAAAGTATCAAGCCATAGTGCTGCAAGATCCCTGCCTAGGCTTTGTTCATGAAAGAAATTTTGCATAATATATGTATCTGTTAATTATTGCGTTGTCTATGTATAGCATTGAAGTATGATTTTTCATATATATATATATATATATATATATATATTTTCTTTCTTTTCTGCATATACTAGGGTGACTAAGAATGTTTTCTTTGCTAGAGAATGGGACCTTGGTTTCAACAGTTACAGAAAAGAGAGAACTTTTTGTGTGCTCTTTCATGAATAGTATCTCTCTTCAATTCTCTATGTTGTCATGTGTGCAAGGTAGGTCTCCATGGTTGAGTCCTTTTCCGCAATCGCTCTCACACTGAGGCAAATCATAATGCAAGCTGGCAAAGGGCTTATGGGCGCATGGCAATTGGCATAATCTTTTCCAATACCCAATAACGATAACGGATAGTTCATAGTTGCTTTGGTGTGGTTACCAAAAAGTGAGCATGTTCATCAAACAACATTTGTTGTACAAGTCTTAAAAAGGTCCTTCATTAAATCGTTCTGAACTTGAATTATGGATGCCTGTTTTTATAAAACATTTTGGCAATGACTGTGTCTTAACTTAAATTAGTTTCAGAACCTCTTATTTCCCATTAAGCTCAGTGATTCAATGCCAATGAATTTGTTTTTGTCAACAACAAGCAGTCAGCTAAGAGAACAAAAGAAAACCACATTACTCCTCTGATTCTGGAAAAGGTCACTTTGGCAGCTGACAGCCCGCTTTAATTTTATGAGCGGGACCAAGCATTTGACAGTACATGCAGCCCCTTCCTTAAAGAAAAAGATAAAATTAAATAATAAAAAAAAAGTCATGATGAAATCAACAATGTAGTACTCCAAAAATCTTCTGTCGACTTATGATTAAGACTTGGAGATTATTTGCTTTTGTACTATTCTATATGTTTTACTAGTTGACTCCTATACTAATCTCTCAACAGGCAAACCCGATGAACCAAGTAGCACTTATTAAATAGTTTAGCCATCTGATTTTTACCAACTTATTAAATAGTATCTCTGTCCGGTTGCTTATCAGAGATGCGCATAACCTAATCCTACCAGGAAAAAAAATGGAAAGGAATAGGTGGTTGTATTTTGAAGACGTTGATAACTGCAGAACAACACAAAGAAGAATAATCAGACAAAGAACATATAGAAAACCTGGCCTTGTCACATATTGAGTAATTTTCCATCTTTATTAATTCGGGGAAGAAAGAGGTGGATGGTAGTTTAAGTAGTAGCCAAACAAGGCAACCCTTCTCTTTGCGTTGAACCCTTTCACGCTTAGTACTTCTTTATTTAACTGTTTCACTTAGTACTTCTTTCGTAATTTTATTTTGCATATCTTTTAAATTTTTCTTATCGGAATTTAAAATTTTAGATTTAAGATTTCAGAATTAAAATTTTTAATTAATTGTACAAAACTGAATACTTGAAGGACCATAAAATTATGGAAAAAATATAAAATCAAGTACAACGTAGGAGAAGAAGATTTCTACTGACCTATACTTAAATTTTTTGTAATTAAAATTGTAGCGAATATTTGCGGGTCCAACGGCAGCCAATGCTATTAAAACCACACATCTAATGTGGGACTTAGCTGAACAACACCTAGTGGCATTTTCAATCCAAGCGACCGACAATGCTTTCCTCTCCCAATTTATTACTGCCACTAACCTGATGTCGTAGACAGAGACGACAAAGGACGGGCTCCAAACATTTTTTTCAGGAAACAATTCGGATCTATTTGGATTTGAGATATTTAAGTTCAGATTATTTTGAGTTTGAATTTAAAATGACATTAATAATTACATTTTATATTTTGTAAAAAAATAAATTATATTATTTTAATTTTTAGTATAAAATTAGGGTTATTTTAAATTGTAAGTTGAGAGATTTTAAACTCGAATCATTTTAAAGTTGAGATTTTTTTTTAATTTTTAATTTTTTTTATTTTTTATCAACTTGAGTATGATTAGACGTAGGTTTGTAATTTTTTTTTTAACAATCTTTAGATTGAAGTTCATTCTGATTTAATTTGTCACAAGAAAAAACTTCATTAGAAGTAATATATTAAGATAATGCGTTTGGTTAAAGGGATTCTGTTTGGTTAAAGGATAATTAATCAAGTTGTAATAAAGGGTTAATGTTGGTAGAATCAAGAGAATATCATTAACAATTAAAAACATCATTTTGCTTAAACGCCACTCATCTTTAATTTTCGATGCATTCATTAATAATTAAAAACATCCTACGTTGTTGAGCAGACGGAAAGTAGTCAGAGATGAGTGGTGCAATTGTTTTCTCAGCGCAGTAGCAGTTAATCAACGTAGTTAACTGGATTAATTACCACGTCCAAAATGAAAATGACATTGGAACCAACAAAGTCTTGACCACAGAATATGGACAGAGGTCTACCAAATTTATGCATACCTAGTTTTAACTTTCGACTTAACGATTGTTGTACCTTTGTACACATTTTTGACTTACCTACCAATATATATATATATATATAATGTTGAAAAAAAGGAGAAACTGATAATAATATTAAAGATTTAAATGTGTTAAAGTATCTTTTTCATATATCTTACTACATCGATACTACAAAGAAATTTTTATACGTTACTTTTGTTGATTTTTTTAATTAAAAACTATTTTACTCTTTTCTTAAATATTATTTCCATAACAAAAATGAATTCACTTGACTTGTTTAGGCATTTTAAGAAGCCAAAAAATTAGTATATATATATTTCATTATTTAAATAGTAGAAACAGATGTCCGTGTAATATGAAAATTTAGGGGCCTTAATTAATCAAGAATCTAAACTGCACCCATAATGGTGGGCTGGGCTCTACGCATAGTTAGGTAAGCTTTCGATGAAATTACTTGTTGGGCGTAATCTAGGCTACAATAGGGTCGAAGAACAAAGCTTACGCCCTCTCATCATAATATTATTTTGAGTGAACTACACATACGCCTTTTTTGGTATGACCTTTTCTTACATAGTATCATGAAGTTATTTTTTTTATATATAAAATTTTGTGTTTTAGTTATATAATTAAAGGAGCTAATGATGATAAAGTTTTAATTAGTTTTTTTTAAACAGATAATAATATCCTTTGTTTTAACTTTTTTGTATTTAATGTGCTTAATTAAAAAAATATTTCAACTTTTGGATTTCTTTTCTACTTTTCTCTCTCTCTCTCACTTTCTCATTTCCCAAAAGAGTGTTTTCTTCTTTGAATTCCAAACGGGTTTAAAAAATTCAATCATTATTTTTGTTTTCTAATTTTCCTCTCTCATTTTTTCTGTTCCTTTAATTCATTTTTATAAACTATGATTTCTTTGAACATTGAATTTGAATCAATGTAATGATTGCTTCTATTGTTACCTTTGTTAAGAGATTTTGATTAATTGGTTCATTTTAGAATTGTATTTGATTTTATTTTTGTTTGGATCCTTTTAGTATTGAGTTATCAGCGTTTGTATTCAAAATTTGTAAAGAAGGATCCAAATGCACATGCTTTCTTTAAAAAGGCCTTAATTGATTCTGCTCAAATAATTTTTTTTCATTTTTTGAAAAAATAATCTTGTACAATTATGTAGGAACTTATAAATTTATTAAAGTGTTAGCAAAAGAGATTCTTCCTTAAAAACCATTTCTTCTTTTTATATGATGCCATTCTTAGACTAACAGTGAAGTAGAAGTCACGTATATCAAACACCAAAATTATAATCGTAGTCCGAAACATGGTTGTTGTTCGTTTGTAGTAATATAGCATTTAACATTTATGCATATGCATAAAGACTTTAGTGTTACTCATTACAACAGGAAGCAAGTTGGTCTATTTTGAAAAAAAAAAATGAAAGACTTTGGAAAAATATTTTTTAATGAAATAAATAAAATACAAAAAGATTAAAACAAAGGTTTTTTTTTTATAATTGGGAGAAGGGAATTTGAATCCTGCTTTTTTAGGTAAAAGAATCATGCATCAATTGATAAGTCAAATGTTCAGATGCAGAGATTAAAACAAAGGTTATTATTATTTGTTTACCAAAACTAACTAAAACTTTAACATTGTTACCCATTTTGGAATAGAACTAAAACATAAAGTTTTATATGGGAAAAAAATAATCTCAACGTATTACGTGAGAAAAAGTTATACTGCAAGAGGTGCATGTGAAGTTTACCCTATTATTTTTCTTTACACAAAAAATACATTTTTATTTGTACCTTACATAAAATATTAAGAAGCTAAAATATCAAAAGGCATATATTTGCAAGATCGTTTTTTTCTTTTATGAAAGTCAAAGGTGAAAATTGAAACACAAAAACACTTTAACATTTGACTTTAGGTATTGTATGGTTTTCTTTACTTAAAAAGTTAAGTTTCAATCCTCCATTCCCTAAATAAAAAAAAAATTAAATCACAAAAGAATACTCCATATGTCCATTATGTAACAACCCAAGGCCAAGCATCACTGGTTCAATAGTTTTTTTTATTTAAATCATTTGATCTTCAAAAACTTGAACTCAAGTTTCAATAATTGATTCAGACTCTTAGGTAAGTTTTAATAATCACATTTACACTTGACATACAATGATGCATTACAACCCATCCACTCAAATTTTTGATGTTTTCTACAATGCTCCACATTACAATTACAATTAAAGTATCACTCAAGAAGATCAATATCTCATTAGCACAATTTGGAAATCCACACTAAGTTGACATATACTTTGATACCAATTGTAACAACTCTGGATCCAAGCACCACTTCCTAGTAACTTTTCGAGTCTAAATCATATAATTTTCAAAAGTTTAACTTTAAATTGTTAATAGTGATTAACTTAAATTATTATATAAATCTTAATAATTACATTTATATCTGATATATGAGATGAGATATCACATATGAATACAAAATGACTGTTCATGCCCGTTTTTTAACAAAATGAGCTAAACTTTAGTTAAACTAAAGTTGCTTATTCCAAAACACTAAATATAACTCAGGGTTAAGGTGGAAGGGTGAGTTTTTGGTTTTTGTATATCATAATTTTTGTTTGTGTTTAGATGAATTATGG